GGTAAATATAATGCCAACAACCAGTGTAAAGGCAAAGGTTGATAAATTTTATATCCATACTTATCAACCAACTAAAAAGTTCAATATATCATCTGATTAAGTCATAAGAGGTGTCTTTAAGAAGTCATACAAGTAACAAATGGCAACTTAGACTTAGTCTCCTTAAGTGCCACTTGATTTGCAACAAACAAGGTAGTTGATGAATGCAAATTAATGAGCGGATATAGCATGACACAGAGGCGTGTTTTGACGTATATTGATAATGTCTTACCCAATAATATTTCTATAAATCCAAAATAAAATTTGTGTCTTAAAAAGTAGAAAGTTTCGAGTGGCTCACATCTAACACAAGGAGCAAGAAGCCGACCTTTGTGCTTCATATATGGCACCTCTTGCCAAGCCCAACTTGCTTGCACCTGAAAGATGCTTAATGAAAGTTGAAAATATAGTGTTATCATCAATCTTATTAAAAATGAGTGACAAAGATTTAAAGACTTCTTAGAAAATGATGCAAATTCCATGCATGATGCAGATGTACAATTAATAAGCTGCCAATGGTAAATCTTCAGGAAGTTCAGTGTGCATCAAACATTCAAACTACAGTATGGTGTACCCTTGAATTTATTCTATCCAGGAACTCGGCTATTAGATAGTCCCGCTTACTATCTTTCACCACCCGAGTTCCATCATCAATGTACAACGATTCGAACATACATAAAAGATGATAAGTCAGTTACAGTTGCATAAAAATTGAGAAAATAATGCCATCAAGGCCACGGTATTATATGAAATTAATGTTAATTCAGTGGTTTCTTTGGGGTCTTATATTTTGTGAAATTCTTCAACACAGGACAGAGCAACGGCATCTTAACAAACAATATGAATGAAAAATAATTTTATTGCGCTTTTTTCATTATTACCATTTGATATATATATATATATATACACAAACGATTTCTGGTGAGAAATAATTGTCAAAAAGCATGCAGTGAGAGCATATACCACTTACTATCACTTACCGTGTAGAACAACACCTGTAAACCTACAAGTTCCATTACACATTATGAATAATGATACTTCAAAACCCTCAAGGAAAAACAAACCGAAAGAATATGCATCCAAAAATGTTTCCTCATTTATCCAGTTTCTCCATCTCACATTTTAAAAGCTTGCCATCTCAAATTAATCTCTTAATGAAAAAAAAATTGCAGTTGTATCTGAACTCTGACTCTCTTAGACATTATAATTAGCAACTATGTAACACTGAATAACAAGTTCACGAAAATGTAAATAGCAACATGATCATAGCGAAACTTCACTTAGACCGATCAAACATTGTATCCATTTAACACTTGAATCCATCAATCACGAACAATGAAACGATTACAGAAATCAATCCACTGCCATAGCCATTATTTTTTTAAAAACGAGTACCACATAAGCAACCACACGAACATCAAATGTTGTAATGCAAGTCATAGTAATCGAGCAACGCAATATTAAATATCATCTATAATGCAAATAAGTTACACCATCTCAAATAACACCGGGTAACCCAGAAAAACTACATATGAGAAAGCACTTGCCTGAAATTGACTCTTTGAGCTGAATCCACATGAATCTCGTTCATCCAAACCGAACAAATAACACTTCATCCGAGGAAAAAGTGTTGCCATTGTTGTCGATGACCTGCAACACATCGCCAGCTGAGGTACAGAAAACCGGCCTGTTTTGCACGACGAGGAGCCGATCCTTATCGAAGGTCCCCAGCATCCGCCACGTATCTGAAATTTATTCGCCGGCGGTGACGCTACTGGCGACAGATGACAGCTAATAGATCTATGGCTTCGATTATTTGGAAAAAGCCTCTGCGTCTGGAGTGGGTTTTCAGGCCGCGGTCATGGTGGACGAGCAGCCGGAGGAGGCGGCGGTTGGAAGAGACTGCGATTGCTCTGTGAGGGATTGAGCGTGTGACCCCCGGAGCTCCTTCGCGGGGAAAGAGAATTTGGAATTGGCGGGAGATGGCGGAGCTCTTTTTGAGGCTTTGGGATAAAAATCAGAATAAACTGCAGCAGATGGTGTGGCAAAGCAATGGAAGCGGATTAAACCCAACCCATTATCGAATATCCCGAGTTGCTGTAGGCATGTGGTGTAAAGCCCATCAGGCCCAAATCGCAGAACTCCCAAACGACGTCGTATGGTATTTCGCAAATTTGCACTCAAACCTCTTGAATGTGCGGAGGTTTTCTCCACTCTTCAGTCTTCAAAAACGCTGCAACTGAACTCAGCAGAGAACGAGTGAAAGTGACACTTGAGAAAGCCAAGGCGAGCCGCATTTCTTGGCCCCTTCATTTGTCTCAGTTCTACATAGCTCGCCTGAGCAGCAGCCGCGAGCTCGAGCGCCGCCACGCGAAGCCGGTCAGATCTAGGGTTTGTATCCTGCTTTATCTGCTTGTCCATTCAGCTGTTTGGATTATACTGGTTATAGCAATATCGTCGCAGCCTGATATCTCCGGTGAACGTCAGTTCGGACAAGATGTTCGCACTCAAAACGGTACTGTATTCATCTTCTTCACCTGGCTTTATAAACATGCCTGTGATTTTGCGTGCTTAATACTAATGTATTGTTGATGATATTATCTTAATGCCCTCGGAAAATGCAGTTGTGGCTTGTCAAGCTGTTTCGAAAATCGTCAATTCTCCTTTTGCTCTGCCTTGGTAAAACCCCTAGTGGTCTTCGCTCAGACCTGTTGCACTCGACAAGGTATTTTGCTTTGATTTATCTGTACGTGCTGTTACCGAAATGGAGCCGGTTGCTTGATAGTGATACAGTGTGAACAAGTTGGATGTGTCTAGTTTATTGGGGGGTTTTTTTTCTTGCTTTAGTATGTGCGTGTTACTCTTTATACTTCAGCAAATGCCTATTCATTTGCAGTTGGAATGGTGCTGGAAGTAGTGGTTGATTGGTCTTACTTCTAGTTTCTAGTGTGTTACACCATAACACCTGATTGGGTGTGACTGTCAATAAATGCCTGATTTGTTACCATCTAGTTAGACCTTGAAATCTGATGTTTTATTTCATTTTCGGTCGGTACATTTGGATGCTAGTATTTTGGTCGGTACATTCATATTGGTGATGTGACAATCACTATTAATGGTGCCTCGATATTGAAAATGCTGGAGGTTGAACATTCTGCTGCCAAGGTAAATTTTCCGTGCTTTTGTAGTTCTATAAATTTAGCATTTCAGGAGCTTGATGTGTAGTTCTTACATGATTACAGGTTCTTGTTGAGCTGGCAGAACTACAAGACCAATAAGTTGGTGATGGCCCGACTTCTGTGGTCATCATAGCTGCAGAATTGCTGAAGGTATTTTGGCTAGTTTCCGGGTTGCATGAATAGAATATTTTGCCGAAATTGATAGTCTGAAATCTTTCATGCTAATTGAGCATTTGTTTCTACAGAGAGCTAATGATTTAGTGAGAAACAAGATTCATTAAACATCAACAATCACTGGTTACAGAGTTAGAACTTTGTTTTTTGTTTTTCCTTTTTTCCTTTTCCCCCAAAATTGCACATATTTAGTTTCTTCTTCATTCAAGGTTCAGTTACTTTACATGTTTCAGCACTTTATAATTGCTATATTTTGTTGCCAGCTTGATATGAGGGAAGCATGCAAGTATGTTAATGAGAAATTGGCTGTAAAGGTAACTCTTCTGCCACTTGATTCCTTCAGAAGCACATCTTTCTGGTTGTCTTATTTGGGTCTGCCAAAGGAAGATGTGAACATGATTATTTGTATTTGTGTGCTGCTCGACATGAATCAACTTGAACTAGTATCTAGTTACAAACCCAGAAATGTTATATAACCTCTAAGGGTGTTTATCTGGTAAAACTGGAAGTTCCGTGATGCTATGGTTTACAAGATTTTATATGCTGACTTTTTGGGCTCACATTTGCTTGCATGTTTGTTAGGTTGAAAAGCTTGGCAAATATTCACTTGCAAACAGTGCCAAGACCAGCAGGTCCTCAAAGTTGATAGGTGGTGACAATGACTTTTTTCGCAAATCTGGTAAGTTAGTGAACTAGTAAATGAGTGATGAAGCCGCTTGCACCTGTGATAAATGTATAATTCAATGAAGTTTGAAGTAGATGCATAGCATTCAAGTGTTGTTGTTTTTTTTTCTTTTTTTTCTTTCTTTCTTTTTTGCATGTGTGTTCTATGTGCATTGGAGCAAATGTTTGAGCACCGTCTCTGTTAGCTTAGCTGCTTGGAATAAATGAAATTCGTTGATTTTTTGTGAATGTTATGTAACTTCTTTGATCTCTTATGTGGTCTACACCATCAAGGTTGATGGTCGTAATTTTCTGTCCTGTTATTGGTGCTATGAGAGGACTGTTTCTCTTATGTGACTATTTAGCTACTTCTTGGTGTTTATATATCATTACAAGTTTGTGTTTCAAAAAATCCTAGCATTTATAGATGTGGAAGCTGTACAAGCAGTAAAATGACAAATGCAAGAGGCGAAGTTTGGTATCGGATCAAGGTTGGTTGTGCATAGTTGTCAACTTATTTGTAGTTCTTGGCAATGTTGGTTTCTCTTGGTCTCAATTAGCTTTTGTCTGTTCCAGAATGATATGATATTCATCTGAAATGATGCTTAATATACTTCTGTTGCATTTTTTGGATTTGGGAAAAAACATGGACAATTGGCTTTTCGGTTATAACTATCTCAAGCATCTCGAAGATTTGTGAAAATCAAAACTGACATTGGAAGAAGCCTAAATCCTTCTCGGAACATCAATAAAAAAATATCTTGATCTTGTCAATCATTCATTGTGATTAGTTTATAGGTACTCATGGAATAAACATTCTTAAAGCTCATGAGCTAAGTGCCAGATATACCTATCCACTCAAAGGATATGCTCTCAACACCAGCCGTGCTGCACAGGGATGCCCTTGAGGGTTGCCACTGCTAGAATTGTGTGCCTTGACTTTAATCTTCAGAAGGCTAAAATGCAAACGGGAGTCCAAGTTTTAGTCACTGACCCCAGGGAGTTGGAAAAGACCTGTCAGAGGTGCATATTTTTGTTATTTGTACATTATAGGCAATCAGGAAAATCCATTCATATGAAGATTTGGTTTCATATTATGTGCTTATTAGTGGATGTCAAATGAAGTAAAACAGAAATCTATTTTGCAGCACAACCATACGAGTTCTTAGATCTCTCAGAAGCAATGAACTTTTAGATTGATGTCTCTTGTTCTCTGTCATTGCTAAAGACTCGTGAGGAATTGTTTTAAACCGCCTCATAATTTTTTAATTAATTCTCCTGGTACTTTGTCGTGTTATGTCGCCATAGTAATGATAATGCAAAATTATCTTGCAAAGAAGCTGACATGACAAAAGAATGTATTGAGAAGCTTCTTAATGCAGGAGCAAATGTGGTCTTCACCACTAAAGGAATTGATGACACGGCATTAAAGGCAAGCTTTCTCTAAGCTCACTCTATCAAACTCTTTTAAAATCTGTTTCTCAATGATTTTTCGTGTCTAGGGCTGAATATTCATTGGTAATTCATTTGTCCGCAATTATTACTCATGAATTTCCTACAGTCAACAATATGTTGTTGAAAGATTAATATCCTGTAAATTGTACACCGTTTCCTTATTGAGAGTGCCCACTTACTTAGAAGCATATTTTGAGAAATTGACATCATCCTTCAAAGTTATGAGTCAGATCCATCTTCTAGATGTACAATGTGTTAGCATTACCATGTCAGATTGCTTCGAGGCTGCCCTAACCAAAGCAGATAAAAAGCATCTGTCAAGGTAGAAAATTCATGCTACAGGCATTTGATAGTATAATCTGGACGTAACTATTATTACACAGTAAATTCCCGCGTAAACGTCGGGGTCAATTAGAGAAAGTTGCCTTGGATTTTATTAATTTAATTACATACTCCTTCCAACCTGCCCAAAAGAAATAAATATATTCATGTATACTTCAAATTAAAGGACCCTGGTATTTGTTTCTCTTTACAGATTGCACCCCCTAGACTTGAGGGAGTATGTGCTGGTAAATAATTAAATATGAACTTTGAGGTGTTGGTGATACTTTATTGGGTGAAATGTGTTTATCAACAATAATTGAATATTTTTCTTATTAGGTTATATGTAAACTGTAAAGTGTAGTTTTGTGATATTTAGTTATTTACACCCCGCCTTTTTTCCGTTGCCAGAGGGTTGAGCCTAATCCTTAGAATCTCATGGAAAAGCTTAGAAGCTTTACTTATCTGCTGGGCAATGTGCAAGCTTAGAAGTTTTACTTATCTGCTGGGCAGTGGGCACATTGCCCTTTCGTTTTTGAAAGTACATTAAATATGAACCTGCAATGAGAAAAGTAAAAATAATTCGGGTTTGCTGTTCAAACTTGATGTTAGTAATGTGACTAGTAAAAAATTTACCTCATTTAATGAGGGTACCTTAGGAGTTGTTAAACGAAATGAGTCACTCATGAGCTCGTTTTGTTAAATCTCAAGTTCGGATTGCTTGTTTGATAAACGAGTTGAACTCAAGCTCATTTAGCTAATCGGCTCCTAAAGGCTTAAAAATATGATGAGTCTTACAAACAATTTTGGATTTTAGTTCAATCCGGCTTATTGAAGTTCAACTGTAATTTGTCAAAGCTCAAGTTTAGACTCATTAATATTGATAAGCAAATCAAAGTCGAGCTTCTCTATAGACTCCTTTAGTTAACGAGCTGAACTTAGATCAGCTTAAAAAACGGCTCCCGTCCAACTTCAAGCATCATAAATCAAACTCGAGTTCAATTCGACTTGAAAGTAGTTATCTCAAACATGTATGTGTTTTATGTTTCCATATATATACCCATAACGTGCACGAATATGATTGTATTCAATGTGCTGCAATTACACACAAAAACAGGCGGAATGTGCGGAGTGGGCGCCAATCTTTCACGTCACAGCCCTTCTTTAAGTTGCCTTTGAGTGGGACATTCTTCTAAAAAAAAGAGCATGTTCCAGCTGTCTTCACGTGAGTAACCCCCATTTTCCTAGTCGTGTTCATGTATTAAAATTTACATCCCTGAATTCAATTCTTTTATTTATTATGGAAAATGCTACATTACCAAACTTAATGTACAACTAAGTTTACAAAACAAGTGGAAACATTTATTTCTGTATTTTTTTATATTTTTGGATATTTTCACTTGTGCTGTCAACCTAGTTGTACACTGGGTTGACAATGTATCATTTTTCATTTATTATTGATCCATGTTCACAAGATTAAATAATAAAAGCAGTAACAGCACATATAATCACCAACGAGACGCGCGGGAAAACAATATGGCTTAGCAGTTAGCACACTTCAACCTCTCAACCCCTAGAAGTCCAAACCACCAGCTGGAAAAAATGAACAAATAGTAACTAATTATACAATGTCGATATAACAATTACGCGTAGACGAATTTTGGATGGACAATACCACCAAACTAATTCTATTATATTTTGCTTTACGACCTCTGATATATTCTGTTTGTTAGATTATGTCTCACTTATCACTATATAAATCAGTTGTTTAATACGATTTTGATTAATGCATATAAAACGCACGAAGCTAGTGATTTTAGTTATTATTTATTAACAGTAGTACAACATCTGTAATGTGTTTGTATTATTGAGAAGCCGTATTAGTATCGTACTAGCTTTATGTGGATTGAACACTAAATTATGCAATCAATTTAAATTTGCCTAAACTCGCCTACCAAAAGAGAGATGTTTGTCATCACATGGCGAGAAGTCAAATTATGGGTGTAAACGAGACGAGCTCGAGTTTTATGCTGCTCGAGGTCGAGCCCTTAATGAGCCGAGCTCAGCTCGTTCTTATAACTGAGCACGAGTTTGGCTCGCTTATCAATGTTAACGAGTCAAAATCGAGTTGAACTATAGAAAAATACATAAAAATTATCTTTTCGAATCTTATCGAGCCGAGTCAAACTCAATTCGTTAACTGAACGAGCTTTGAATGAGCTCGAGCTCGACTCGTTTATCAAATGAACCGAGTCGAGTTCACGAGCGGCTAGCTTAATTTAACAACTCTATGTCAAATATCCTCCAATAACCACAATAAATGAATCTCACATGAAGTACACTGCCTAAAACAATACCTTTATATTCATACTTAAAAAAAATACTTATATTATAGTTATACATAATGCTCGAACATACACTTCAAAGAATATTATTGTTTAATCATGATTATGGGTAGCAGTAAACTTACATATAAGAAGTATACATAATGCTCGAACATGATGACCGTCTGTTCAGTGAAATTATAAATATTGTTCCATCAATAAATAAAATAAATGAGATTGTGCATAGTATTTGAATTAAATTCCAATATAAATTGAACACCGACATTTAATTATTATAATTATTGAAGTCAACTATCCTTATGGCCGAGCACATGAAATCTCACCAGTTATAGAATTTAAGATAAAGGAAAGTGCATGGTGTGATTGACTCTGCCCACGTTCCCCTGCCCCCTCACTCCCCTTCATTTATACCCTTTGCTTTTCATCTACTTCACCCTCACTCTCTCTAAACTTGCGCCGTTCACAAACTTAAGATTGATCGAGAAAACCAAGTTAATCCTACGGCTGGTAAAGTAGGGGGTATGGATGCTTACGGTGGAATATCTGTAGACGATCTTTTAGACTTACCAAGCGACGATTTCTTCCCTCCCTCTTCCTCCACCGCCGCCACCACCGCGGCCGCCGTCTCACACTACAATTGCTTCGAGCAATCTTTCACTCCTAGTTTCTCTAGCGAGTTTAACGACATTCTATGCTTACCAGTAAGATCTATTGGACTGATTAATTTTTAATTCAATTGAATTCAGTAATGGTACCTTTGAGTTCGATCGGTGGATCTGATAATCGGCCTTGCTGTTCCCCTACAGACGGAGGACGCTGCGGAGCTGGAGTGGCTCTCGAGCTACATGGACGATTCGTACTCCGATCTCCCACCAAACGAGCTCGCCGACGCAGCCGCCGGATTCCTCTGCCGGCCGCGGAGCAAGCGCTCCCGTCCGTCCGTCTCCCCCGCGGCCGGAAACTCGATCCCGATCTGCGGCGGGGTTACGAGGGGGGAGAATCTCTCGGGGAGCGGCCGGGGGCCGGAGGTCGAGCGCAGGTGCACGCACTGCGCGTCGGAGAAGACGCCTCAGTGGAGGACCGGGCCGCTGGGCCCGAAGACGCTGTGCAACGCCTGCGGCGTGAGGTACAAGTCGGGCCGGCTGGTGCCGGAGTACAGGCCCGCCGCGAGCCCTACGTTCGTGCTGACGCAGCACTCCAACTCGCACCGGAAGGTTCTCGAGCTGCGGCGGCAAAAGGAGATGCTCCGCCAGCAGCAAGAGGGGGCGTGCGGTCGTCACTTTCGCGTGTGCTGATGATCCTCGCATTCTTTTTTTTTTTTTTCAAAACGGTAGNTATCGGTTTTTTTTTTCTTTCTTTTTTACTTTTTACAGGAACTGTGGGGAGAAATATCCAATCCACAAAACATTTTCGTTTCTAAATGAGAAGTTTTGCAGTTTGTGCTGTTTGAACTTGTGATTTGCTCCATTGCGTTTTTCTTTCAAGTCAGATAGGCCAATGAATGTGACAACTGTAGCCATTGTAACAATTAAGAATGAGACAAAAATACTCCTTAGCCTGTCATTACTGCCACACACTTTTAACACACAAACCGATCCCCATAATTTAAAACAAATAGAGAACCACAAATCTTGAGCTCCATATCTAAGAACTTCGGACACAGAATTGGACTCATACGGGCTAACCAAATACTGCGAGTAGACGAAACTTGTGGTGTCAACAATAACTATTGAACTTATTTAACCACCGAACAACTGTGCCGATACACGTTTAGTTGTCTCTGGCTAAGTGTGTCCCTTTGTAGCACAAGTCTTAATGTGAAGTGGTGAAGCTTGTGCTCAGTTGCACGTCCTTGCCTATTGGACATGCTCTAAATAGTGACTATCAATCGAGGATAATATATGCAATATACGTTGCGAAACAAACAACTATAAAGGAAAAAAAATACATTTTTTATCCAACTAATCAATGCTTATCATTTGTTTGGCTTCTATCATTAAAAAAATTAATTATAGTAATAAAAATAAAATGAGGAGGCATATGAAGGTACCTGAAAAAAATAATTAAACACTACAAAAAATTAAAATATGATGGATTACTAAGGGCCTATTTAAATAAGTATTAGTCATAACATTCGTTTTTGCCTGAACATTGCTACCATTATGTGTAACGAACTACGACTTGAGAATAACTAACAGTATAATCATACTTGATATGTGATAGTTAATTTTTTAAATTTTATTATATTGTCTTCGAAATGATGGATTCACTAACTTGAGAGGTTTTGAGTTGAATGATGGATTTTGTTAACAAAACAGTTTACATAAAAATATGGACAAACAAGTTATGATGAATATTACATTTTTCCATCTAGAACTAAATCATCCCTAAGTTCAATCAATTAGAATACGAAAGTAAATTATCTTATCTCTTATTTTGTTGTTCGGTATGGAAATACAATACCCCAACAATATAATAGTATAGATAATAACATTTAAAAGTATCTAACAGATTAAATAATAAAAAATATATTAAAAACTAACAAACTATTATATCTGATATTATATTCAACGTACCAGCTTGCATAACAATGTATGACTATTTCATCTGCATCTCTTCTTGTTGAAGTGAGAGAGTCCTTCTATTCCTTTCCCAGATGGTTTTAAACGTCGAAATAGATCCACTAAAGGACTGATCTTTCCTTCGGCCAGGAGGTACTAAAAAGCTAGGGCGATATGAGCTTATATATTCTCGGTCCTATGAATCTGCTTTGCTAACCGCAATCCCTCCTTTACCCCAACAAGTTCGGCCAGTCTGTAACTCAATTCATAATAAAACTCGATTATACTTACAATTGAGCCACTTTTCATACGGCTCATACTATTTATTATCCACAATGAAGACAATATTAAATATGCAATTCTTTAGGTTAGATGTAAATGAATCGAACTGAGATAAAGTTTGAATTAAAGCCTTTATTGATTCGAGTAACAACACGAGCCAATAAAAAAATTCAAGCTTAATATTTTTATCAATATTAACAAGCCGAATTCAATTTTCAATGAGACGAGCCGAAATTGAATCATAACAAGTCGAGCCAAGCTCAATCGTCTCATGTCTCTATTCGTCTCTCAAACCTAAAATGACCAGAAACACCTTTTAACATTCTTGATGAGTAGAGTTGTTAAACGAATTGAACAACTCAAGAGCTCGACTCGTTAAGGCTCGTGTTCGGAGCCGAACTCGCATAAAACTCGTTTCGTTAATAAACCGGACTTTGCCCGACTCGACAAAGTTAAAAAAGATAATTTTCATATATTTTTTTATATATAGTTTGATTCGTTAAGTTCGAGATCGACTTATTAAGGCTCGAACTCGACTTATTAATATTAATAAACGAGTTGAGCTTGAGCTCGATTTCTTGTTTGTTGCTCAAGCTCGAGCTTGGTTCGGTAGGCCTAATGATGAGACTTTAGTAGGACTAATGTAAAAATGTTATTTCACCTGAATCGCTTTCAAGCCGCCGGTCTAGACGGTTCAGCCGAAGGCTGGGATCGGGTCATTTTACCCGGTCAGTGGTGCGACCCGCATCAACACCCCAACTGCATATTCCCCACCAAATCTGCTCTACGCTACCACTGTCTCAGATTATTATTTTTTTACATTTTTTGCAATTTGTTCAGATTTTGCAGACCCTAGCAATTTGTATCAAAATTCATTGAAATACTTCAACTGAGGAGAAGGAAGATTTCTTTTCAACGATGATTCCTTTATCCTCTAAGGTTTCCGGTCAGATTTGTTTTCTGCTGCAGAGCTTGAACGACTCCAACTCCGATTCGGTTTTCCAAGAGCTATGCAAGGTACATACAGCTAATTTAGAAAGTTTTATGCATTTCTTCGTCTAGCTCGTTGGTCTTGTGCCTTTGTTTGATCTATTTGACTGTTGATATGGAGATTGCTGCAAAACCCTAAGCATTTCCTGCTTTCGTTTTTATTTGGGTGTTGTTTAGTTGAAATTCAGTTGATGAAGTTATTTTGGGTCATGGGTTTTTTCTGAAGTGCTTTATCTTGGAAGAGCGTGTTTTGCTGAGGGAATTGGAATTATCATTTCTGATCATTCTGCACCTTCTGATGGCCCCTTATTGTTTAGTGATCGTCAGTCATGAGCCTCATCCCTGAGACAGCTTGATCACGAGTAAATGGATGGCAACTTGCCATGTGCTATATATTTCTCCGGTGGTATGGAGAGAATAAGCATCAAGATGTCATTTTTATTCATTAGGTCCCAACAAACTGGAAATTCATTAACTTTTTTCATGAAAGTAATGGATTTCTGTCTTGGGATTTATATGTATATATTTTCAGTCATGTTGGGAATATACTGGGTATGTTGTTGTTGTTGTTGTTGTTGTTGTATATTTTCAGTCATGAGAGTGGTGTTAAATCTCTGGTTCATGTTTGGGGGCCGTTCTGTTAGTGGAATTCAAATAGAAGATAACCTTCTCTATAATTTTAAAAATCTCCCAATTTCAATATCATCTATAAAGCATTATTTTGACAAATGAATTATCCAAGTATCCATTATATGTTCACCACCACACGTTTTTATTATTACAGATAATACACTTTTAGATTCTGCTCCTTGTGAAACTATTTGTAAAGAAAAAAATTGATTCTTTATAGATTTGGAGCTTGAATTCTGGGTCCTACCCAACATAGGTTTGGTATTTAACTGCAACAGTGAAGTGAATGTCATGGTCACTGGTGATCTGATGGAAATTATGTCTAGTTTCAGTCACCGAGCATGTGCATATATCTACTCTTACATTTCAGTGTTTTTGTATCTTCTATTGAATGATTGTGCTTCTGAAAAGTCAGCAAGGTTTAAGCAATATTGGTTCGTTTACAAGAATGTACGGATTTTATTTAATTGGGAACTTATGTTGTCATAGTATTATTAAGACCTTCTGACAAAGTCCGTGTTCTGTGATTTATGGTTTTCGGTTGACTTTCCTGTTTTTATCTGTCTGGAAATCGACAGTTGCACTGTGTTTTCTTATGATCATATTGCTGATATTGATTGGGCTGCCATTCTTTCTGTGCTGATTATATTTGTAATATGTTTAACTGACAGTGCTCAATGCATGGATTGGAGGGAAGCATACTACTGCTTCAAACCTGTTGGGATCACCTCAATATTTATGACAAGGATTTGAAAACCATGAAGCTGCACCCGATATATGCTTCAGTTTTCAAACATATATTGGATAAACCTAATTTTAGTACCGTATTAAGTGAGTCACTGAGGACTGCACCGATAAGTGAAGAATTGCTGCAGAATCTGTCGGGTGCATTACACCTGTCGATGTCTGAGAAAATTGGGATTGGTCTTGCTTTGTCCAATTCTGAAAATCATGATATTAGAATTTGTGGTTAGTTCTTTCTCTCCCTTTAAGCTGATGGCTTGAATGAATTTTAAACCTGGAAATAGATCTGTTGTAAAACCGTTTGATATCTCATATGTTTCCCTTTTCTGTTCTCAACCTTTCCCATTGTCTTTTACTGCAGGAAGGAATTTCTGCATGAATCAGATTGCAGAGTTGTGTGTGTGCGCCAATCCTGAGGCATTTGAGTCTACTGAGAAAATTCAGAATATTATCATGTTTCTTAATCGTTCTGAAGGCCTTTCCAAGCATGTAGATTCATTCATGCAAATGTTATCGCTTGTACGGTTGAAAGATGGAGCCCAGTTTATCTTAGCGCCGTTTCTTCCTGATAAAGTGCGTGCAGAGAACTTCTTTAGGTGTTTCTCTTGGATCTTTTCTTCCGTTTTCTTTTCTGTGAGAGTCTTCCTTGAAAATGCTAGATAGGAAGTTCTTTATTACTCATTGTTCGGGCTAGAGTTTATGTGTGATATAATTTGTTTATCCATTTCTTTGTTTATTTTGCTGCAGGCACTTAGATATGTTGACTGAGGGCGGTGAAGATGATTTTGATGCCATTCTAGCGGAAATGGAGAATGAAATTAGCATGGCTGACGTGATGAGGGAATTAGGATATGGATGCACAGTCAATGTCTCTCAGTGCAAAGAAATCTTGTCAATTTTTTTGCCGCTTTCTGAGGTCACAATTGCAAAGATACTTGGTACAGTTGCGAGAACTTACACAGGTCTTGAGGATAGTCAAAATGTGTTTGCTGCATTCTGTTCTGCTCTTGGTGGCAATAATGATCTGGATACATCATCTTTGAGTTCTTGGAATGTCGAAGTCCTTGTAGAGTCTATCAAGCAGCTTGTAAGCTCCAAGAGTTCTTGGTTCATGCTTACTGATGATTTAGCTATCAGCTTGGCCTTGGCATCCTGTGTTGAATTTACTGGTATCATTTTTGCTTTGATTATCTCATTTTCAGGCTCCAGGAATTAATTGGATCAATGTCATGGAGAATCTGGACCATGAAGGGTTTTATATCCCTAACGAAGCAGCCTTTTCATTTTTCATGTCTGTTTTTAGGCATGGATGCCAGGTATCATTCGAAAAGCTGTAATCAGCATTATACATTCATGACAGGCATCTAACAAACCGGGTTATTATATTCTATTAATTTCATATTATGGGATCTGGTTTATAGGATCCTTTCCCGCTCCATGCTATTTGTGGCTTTGTGTGGAAGAATATCGATGGTCAGTTATCATTTCTAAAGTATGCAGTCTCTGTGCCGCCTGAAGTATTTACATTTGCTCATTCAGATAGGCAACTGGTATTTTTCCTATTAGATTCAGTCGGTTCTTCAAGCTGTGACTGTCGGTCACACATCTTTATCGTCTTTATTAATTATATGAGACCTGCAAATGTGTGTTTTATCTGTTTTAATTGACAGTCCCATGGTGATGCTGTGACTGAACCATTTGAACCTGGAAAATCAAATCATGCTTGGTTATGTCTTGACCTACTGGAGATGTTATGTCAGTTATCAGAGAGGGGTCATGCAAGTCTAGTCCGTAGTGTCCTTGAAAAACCACTCAACCACTGTCCGGAGTTGTTGCTTCTTGGGATGGCTCATGTCAATGTATTAGCATCTGATGTCGTCTTTGGATTTCGATATTATTTTCTATTATAGTTTTGTCTCGTAACCATTGGTAATATGATTTGCAGACTGCATACAACCTTATCCAGAATGAAGTGGCATCTGCTGTTCTACCTATGGTGCTAAGAAATGCGTCGGGGAGAGGTTTAATATTTAACCTCTGGCATGTTAAACCAGACTTGTTGTTGCGAGGGCTTATAGATGTGATGAGTCTTGATCCAGAGAACGTTTATGGGATTTTGGATGCCTGCCAAGAACTAAAGGTTGGCTTCTTTTTGAGTTAATTTGTACTTTCTCAATAACTACAGGAAATCGTGCATTGTGTGATGAGACATTCTGCTTTAAAGGCATTAATTTTTTTTCATGCAAAAAATAATTGATAGTCTCGTGAGTGCTTTTAACCGGCCTCATGACCTTTAGGGAAATCTTCCGAGATTGTTACCAGTTTATTGGTATTATTTTGGCATGTTAAGAGCACTTAATTGCTGGATCATTTTTATTTTATTTTCTTTCTAGTTGCTGCTCCTTTTATATAATGAGCCTAGGTTAAGAAAGAGGATTTATAAAACCTTTGTACTTCCTGAATGGAGACTTCTGTTTGTTATTTCGTTTGTAATATATTCATTGAAGATAAAAGATTGAACCAAGCTCAAAATGGATGCTTTTACAAAAGAAAAGTAGGTATACGTGGCGAGAGGCATTCCTAAGTGATAATCATCATTTGGTTTCTACATTCATTATTCATTTCCAAAATATCTTGTTTACGGAAATATTGATTATTGGTCTTACAGATTCTATCTCCAGTATTGGATATGATTCCATTTTACTTCAGCATTCGCTTAGCTGCCTTTGCTTCTAAGAAAGAAATCATGGACCTTGAGAATTGGTTAAGTACTACTTTATTGACAAGTAAAGATGCTTTTTATGAGGTAAATTTCTCTGTGACTGACTACCACCCGATCCATCTATGAAGTTCGATTCAATCCAAAGTTCTGTATTACCAATATTAGCTGCTCTTTTCTTGTGGCTTTTACTGGTCAAAATTCAGTTTGAACTTTTATAGAGATTGCTACTAACCCGTGTTTCACTAATGCCTCCAGGAATGCCTTAAATTTCTGAAGGATGTTCAGATTGGATCACATGATGTTTCTGGGAACCGTTTTCATCCTCCTGTTGCTCTTTTGAATATTTATATGGAAGCTTGCCCCACTGTTTTAAAGGTTCTGCGGTTCCCTTTTAATACTCTTATTGCCTTCAGATCAGCTTACTGATCCCTAACCTTTCGAAAAGTTTGTTATACAGGTCCTTCAGTCCCATGCTGGTGTGGTTTCCTCCAGTAACTTGTCTGAGGAAATCGAAAAAATGGATGTCTCTCATATGCTGGCTAATTCAAGAGTTAAAAACGGCACAAGTTCAGACTCAGCTACGGCTGATAGTTATGCCGATGACATTGAGACTGAATCAAACCAAATCTTTCATCAAATGTTTTCTGGTCAGCGTTCTATTGATGATATGATTCAAATGCTTACTCGCTTTAAGGAATCTTCAGATAAGAGGTAAATTTTCTTAATAGTCATTGTTCATACGTATGGCTTGATTTGAACTTCTCTTACAGAAATTCAGGCACAATGACACCATTATATGATATCTTTTGATCTGTATGTTGATGTCCCTGAATCTGGTATCACTTCGTGGATATTTTACTTCTTTGAACTCTTACTCCAGTAGGAGTATGAATCAGGATCATGTTCTTCTACTGAGCTAGTACTCGTGTGTGCCTTTTTTGGGGGCTTGCCTTTTCAAAAGCTAGAGCATCCAATCTTCTCTTTCCCTTCACCACCCGTCCTTCAGTGGCCATTTGGCTTTTCCCGCTTGCTTTCACATTGTACTTGCTGAATAAAAACTTATTCACGTGGAACCTACGTATAAGGAAAATAGTATTTGACTTTTGAAGTATAACGAAGTACCTCTAGATTTTGCACAGATCTATACTGGTTTAGCTTGTAAAATGTGCAAAATATTTATACAGCATGAATTTCAATGGTAGTGTAATATATACAGGGTTATGGTCGGCTGCTGAAATTTACTGGTTACATGTTTGTTATATGTATAGTATGTTAGTCTCATTAGTACCCGAATGCAAGTAACGGTTTTGAGGGAATTGGACATTCTGACAGGGAACAGTCAATTTACGAGTGTATGATTGCTAATCTGTTCGAGGAATTCAAATTTTTCACGAAGTATCCTGAAAAGCAGCTGAGAATTGCTGCAATTCTTTTTGGTGAGATCTTGTTTTGTATCTTCTATAATATTAGCTTATCTTTTCTTTTTAATAGTTAGTTATTGCTTCTCATGTTTTTGCATTCTCTTTGTTGTTAGCTTTTGGATGAATGATGTTTGTGGACCTTAAGTAAAACACTTGACTGACATTCTTGTTTTGTTGTTCCTTCTTTTTTGATTTTTCTCTGCCATTCCTTTTTCTCTTTTCTCCCTTTATATATAATATATGCAATATGCAATTGTATGGTCAATATGAGTTTACATGTATTTCTAATTTCTTGGTTGCCAAATTTTATGAAGCTTAGTGGCGTCATCAATATGCATAACCCTCATTTGTCTGTTTATGATAATACTGTATTAAGTAAGAATAATTACACTGCATTTGATATTTTCTGTTTTCAGGATCACTGATCAAGCATCAACTAGTGACTCATCTCACACTAGGCATTGCTTTACGAGCTGTTTTAGATTCTTTGAGGAAACCTTCAGATTCAAAAGTTAGTATATTTCCTGGATCAGGTTTGTTGAATATATTATTATTTTCCACATTTAACATGACATCGGGTTTTAAAATATGCAGATGTTCTCCTTTGGGACTAAGGCATTGGAGCAGTTTGTTGACCGGCTTGTGGAGTGGCCGCAGTATTGCAATCATATCCTGCAAATATCTCATTTGCGAGCTACGCATTCAGAACTGGTTGCATTTGTTGAGAGGACGCTTAACAGGATCTCAGAGGCTCACCATGAGACTAATGTACATAATGTCACTTCAGATCACCATCATGGGCTAATCCAATCTTCTTCTATGAATTTGGAGGTAATTATGTGATGCAATTAGACTTGAGAAATTGGACTTAACCCTGAACTTAGTTAAATATCTTATTGCAGAGTTTGGACATGTTAAATGTCATTGTTATTATTTGTTTTTTCCTCAAGTGGAATAGTGATTCCTGATTCTGAATACTACTTTTTCAAGTTTCAATGTCAATACTCTAATATGAAACCGGCTATCTCTTGACAACTCTTTCTGCAAAAACCTCATCAATTAAGTAATAATAATACTTCCTCCAAACCTATTTACCTGGTGTATGGTAAGTTGGTCATATTTGCATTTCAATACAAGTGGTTGAGGAATGTTTCTAGCTTCTTCCGAGTTCTTTTGCATAATCAAGTACAACTGATTTATTGTTTACTCCTGCACCATCAAACTTTTTTCTGTACACTCTTTCACTATATTCTCCTTTTTTGTTACAGACCACAGGATCCTCGTATTCTCTGGTTAGACCTGGCACCACGCAAATGGGGCTGCAAATCTCCTCTCCGATTAACCTTCCACAAAGACTATCTAGTTCTCTGGATGAGAGGAAAACATCTGCAATTCTCTCCAATTATATGAAGCCTGCGCCATCCTCTTCAAGCCAGCCTGGTTTTGCCCCTTCAAGTGATACGACTAGCATTCAAAAGGTAAGTTTTGAGATCCGAATAAGTATTAAGTTTCAAATTTTCCGCAGTTCTGGTCTACAAGATGCCTGTTTTTCAACAACTTGAATATTTGAACTAATCAAGGCAAGAATGCAGTCGCGCAGCGGAATCGGCGTGGCCTCAATACACTCTGCCTCTCCCGGTTTTTCAAGTTCGTCTCGACCTTCCTCAGCAAGTATAGCCCATCTTTAAGTTTTTGTATTCATGCTTTCTCCAGTATGTTTTTCAAAATGTGCCCTTTGTGGTGGCCATCTCTCCTAGCCATATGGTTTGTGGATCTCATTTAGAGTTCATTTACGGTTCCAGGGTTTGGCTCCGCTTTAAACATTGAAACACTTGTTGCAGCAGCTGAGAGGAGAGAAACTTCTATAGAGGTGGTTGCATTTGCTGCTTTAAATATTATTTGAACTGCATGCTACTCGTTGGATGTTTTATTTCTCGCCTGTGAACCTGCTCTTTCTTGCTCTTGAATTTTTGTTCAATTCAGTACTTTGGGTACATTTCATGCTTCTCTTCATCTCGGTTGCCATTCATGATTCTGTTATCAAGGACCGAAAGGATAACAGAGGTGGCAATTTCATGTCAAGGCTAATTTTTTTGAGAGAAATTGACAAATATTTTCTTGCAATCTATAATTATGGATTGGTGCATGATGCACCTGATTTGGGTGCTTATGCTTCCAATTATGGTAATGTATGATACGATCAAAGTTGGCTGAGTTTATTTGTTTGACGTGAAGATCAGAAACTCTTTAAGTATGTCATGAAGCACTGGTGTCTGTTACCAGATTATTAGTGCTACGGAAACTCAGATTTATATAAACGAAGCTTTTGTGTCTCAATGGCCTGGAAATTGGAAGGTTATACCCAGCACATATACTTTGTATGATGAGAGCTGCTGGGATCTGTTTTCTTTTGTTATGCTTTTATTTGATGAAGGGACTCGATACATTTGTTTATGAACTGTATTTACTCAAAACATCCTTTTCATAAGTGATAATATTTCAGCTCAGTGTGCAGCCGTTGGTTCTGGTTTCTCCATTTTGATTATTTTGCTTTGTCTTCCATCTTCAAACAGGTTCCTGCATCAGAAATTCAGGATAAGATATCTTTCATTATCAATAACTTGTCAGCTGCAACTATTGAGGCTAAAGCCAAAGAATTTACTGAAATTCTGAATGAGCTATACTATCCCTGGTTTGCTCAGTATATGGTTATGAAAAGGTGAGAAATTTTCTTTTTCGTTTAATCGACTAATGTCTAACTAATGGTTGTATTTCAACGATCTATTTCATTGCTGGAGTTTTCCCCTTTATGCTGCAGTTCATTGCAGTTTTCTGGAAGAATTAAGACATTGGATTTTTGAAAAAATTCTGATTTTTTTATTCTTCATGTCTTATTTGCAGAGCAAGTATCGAGATGAATTTTCATGATTTGTACTTGAAGTTTCTTGATAAAGTAAATTTAAAGCCTTTGTACAGGGAGATTGTTCAAGCCACTTATGTGAACTGCAAGGTTTGGATAATTTAAGTACTTTGCCCTTTACTAAATGATTGGTGCTGATATTCTGTATTTCCTACTCTTCAGGTTCTCTTAGGATCAGAACTTATAAAGTCTAGTGTGGAAGAGCGTTCATTGCTGAAAAATTTAGGAAGCTGGCTTGGGAAGATTACAATAGGCAGAAATCAAGTTCTAAGGGCACGAGAGATAGATCCCAAATCGCTCATTATAGAGGTTGCATTTGTTTTGTTCATTTTTGGTCAATGAAGAAATTCTGGAAATCACAGTTTATTGCTTCATCCTTCTTTGATTTTTTGTTGATTTAGTACTTTGTTTTTGGCAGGCATACGAAAGGGGACTCATGATAGCCGTTATTCCTTTTACTTCCAAGGTATGATTTCTGTGGTTGTTGGTCGATGCGGGTGATGCTGTGTTGTCATCTCTCTCTCTCTTTCTCTCTCTTACATATATATATTCTATGCGTGTTCCAGATTCTAGAACCATGTTCTAACAGTCTTGCATATCAACCCCCTAATCCGTGGACCATGGGTATTCTGGGATTGCTTGCTGAGATTTATGCAATGCCAAATCTGAAAATGAATCTCAAATTTGAGATTGAGGTATTTTTTTTAACAAATCGTTATATTTACCTGGGTTTCAGTGGGCTTAATGGATACTTGTTTCGTACTTAAGTTTTCTCTCTCTCTCTCTCTCAGGTCCTTTTTAAGAACCTTGGTGTTGACCTTAAGGATGTAACACCAACTTCTCTTCTTAAGGATAAAGTTAGAGAAGTTGAAGGTAATCCTGATTTCTCCAACAAGGATATGGGATCTTCACAACCACCAATACCAAATGAGGCAAAGTCTGGAGTGGTATCGATTCCGAACCAAGTGGAGGTACCACTGGATGTTGCAGCTCCTGCTCATTCTGGAGGACATTCACGAATGGTATCTCAGGTTAGTGCTTCATTAAGTCCGTTTTATACCTGTAATTGACTTGAGACTGATATGCGTTTCTGGATTTAGTTTGCCACACCTCTTCATCATTCATCTGCAACGTTAACGGAAGATGAAAAGATGGTGAGCCTGGGATTTCCTGATCAACTCCCTTCTGCTCAGAGCCTTCTGCAAGTGCAGACACCACTTCTATCTAATCAGGTGCTTTTTATAGTTTTATTTGCTTTAATATCCAGGGTTTGAGTCAAATTTCTTTGCTGAATTATTTACCATGTTATGTTTGCAGCTTCCTCTGCCAGCTGCTAATGTTGAACAACAAGTTGTTGTCAATAAAAAGCTTCAGGCATATGGCCTACATGTGCATTTTCAGAGGTTTGAATTAAAAATGAAATTTGTGCAATTCCATAATGATTTAGCCCCTTTTTTTCTTTGAAGAAAAAAGTATTATCTCTACTCATTGTTTGCTGCAGTATACTTCCAATTGCCATGGATAGGGCGGTTAAGGAGATTGTGTCCAGTATCGTTCAGCGAAGTGTTTCTATAGCAACACAGACAACTAAGGAGCTTGTTTTGAAGGTACATGTGNTTTTTTTTTTTTTTGTTTTTCCTCTCCCTGACTTAACAAAATTGAAGACTGCAATCATTTTAGTTGGATGCAATTTTCGATAAACATGGTTCAAGGAAACTTTTCTTTTTTGTAATGACAGGATTATGCTATGGAACCAGATGAGACCCTTATCCGAAATGCAGCACATTTGATGGTTGCAAGATTGGCTGGGAGTCTAGCTCATGTAACCTGCAAGGTAGAGATTTTTTTTTTTTTTTTTTTTTTTTTCTTGNTTAATCTCATTGTTCTTTCCTCCTCTCTAGTTCTGTGAATTCATACATTCATTCAACTATGGCTTTTGTGATATTGAGTGACTTTTCTTTCACTTTCAGGAACCTCTGCGTGGCTCAATATCTGGACAACTGAGGAACGCACTTCAGAGCTTGAGCATAACAAGTGATCTTCTTGAACAAGCAGTTCAACTTGTGACTAATGACAATCTGGACCTTGGCTGTGTGTTGATTGAACAAGCTGCAACTGAGAAGGTAGTTTGTTCCTTGATATTTAAGTGTGACTGTATGACATTGATTCCATGTTTTGTAGAGAGCTTTCTGACAAATGACTCCACAAAATGAATATGAGAATCATTACCTATGCTAGTTTAAAATTATAAGCTCCTTGTAGGCAATATAATCAAAATAAAACAAAAGCTGTCGCTGTGTACTGACACATTTTAGTAGAACCATTCTTTTTTTCATGTTCAGTATTTCTGTATCTGGAACTGACATTCCTGTTTCTAATCTCGGTTTCAGGCAGTTCAAACCATCGATGGAGAAATTGCGCAGCAGCTGTCTATCAGGAGAAAGCATAGAGAGAGTGTTGGTCCCACGTTTTTTGATGCTAGCCTGTATGCCCAAGGTCAAATGGGTGTTTTACCAGAGGCCCTCCGACCTAAACCTGGCCACCTGTCGCATTCACAGCAGCGAGTTTACGAGGTGGATATTTTTTGTGGTTGCTTTTTGAAACATCTCCAATATAAATTAGATGGTATTAAGTCAAACATATCCTTGCTTTTCCATTTTTGTTTGTAGGATTTTGCTCGTTTTCCAGGGCAAACCCGCTCCACTCAGGGCCCAAATTCTCCACCTGTTGGTCCTTCTGCTTCACCTGCCAGTGGTGGAATGCCTCGTTCATTATCATCCGTAACTCCATCTGGCCAAATAAGCCCAAGCATCTTCTCATCTGGCCTTGTAAACGCAGGACTTGGTGTTGTTCCCCAGACACTGGAACTTGATCCAGATGACATGGATTCAGTAGGAGCCCAGATTTCTGCAAGGTTTTGTTGATATCTGTTCTCTTCTCTTCTTTCACTATTATCCCTTTCCTGGTAAAGTTATCTGATCCCTGTCCCTTGTAAACTGCAACAATATGATAATGTTACAGTGTTTCCTCGCCCCACATTGCAATTGGGGACGATCCACAAAGCCTTGAAAGTGATGCTGTTACTTCATTTCCTCCCGCTTCCTCCACCGATTTGCAAGTGGTGGAACCTTTAAATTCTGTCAATGTGAGTAAGATTACTATGCCAGTGTAATATTTTGGATGTGTGCTTACTGATGTGGAGTTTTACACTACAGGAATCTGCAATTTCCGTGCAGCCCTTAAATGCACTTTTGGCTTTGGAACGTCCTGGAACTGCTGTCTCAGATCATTTGATGACCACAGGCGATGCGCTGGATAAGTATCAGACTATTTCAGAGAAGGTTGTTAAACATCTATTTTCTTCTCCTAGCATATGTTGTACATGTGGTTGGATGGCTCATGGCTTTTAAATTGCTGATCATGTTAAGACTTGGTAGCATAGTAATTTGGTAAATATCAATATGCTTTATTTTCTTCCATTAACAAAGTTCTCTATTTAAATCATTTCAGCTTGAAACTCTGGTGGCCAATGATTCCAAGGACGCGGAAATTCAGGTAATAGATCACATTAGACACATTCATGTACTGCACTATTTGCTTTCAATCGGTGGATATATTTTTAAAAGATTCCTTTTATAGCTTCTCTTCAGTGAATTTCTTGTATAGTTTATCTTATTTTGAATTGGTTTATTGCAGGGAGTTATTGCTGAGGTTCCTGCAGTTATCTTGAGATGCATTAGCCGGGATGAGGCTGCACTGGCTGTGGCTCAGAAGGTGAAAAACATTCCAGAAATTGTTTGAATGATACCAGATANATATATATATATATATATATATATATATATATATATATATATATATATCTATATATATCTATATATACATATATTTATTTTCCTTTAATGCTGCAGGCTTTCAAGGGCTTGTATGAAAATGCATCCAACAGTGCTCATGTTAATGCTCACCTTGCTATCCTGGCTGCTATTCGTGATGTGAGCAAGCTTGTAGTTAAGGAACTCACTAGCTGGGTATGCCAAACTGCTTAAATAAGTTTTATATATTTGATTTTTGATGCAAATTATTATAGTTGGATTAATTATACTACACAATGGTTGTAAGATGAATGTCATGAATAAATATTTTTAACTTTGTTATGAACACTTTTGAAATTTGTTTGTAAACGTGTTCAGTTTTGAGGAGCAAATGATGTGGTCAATTAATACATATTTGCTTTGCCATACGATGTTTCTGTTTCATGTTTATGAGTTTGAGATATAAGGGGTGTCAGGTTTCTCGAAACAAATGGGGTAGTTTGGCTCTTGAAGATTCGATATCGGTCATGGTTTGAGACTTTGAGTAGCATAGGATCACAGTGCCTCTAAAGTTGTAGTTCCAGTTATGGTTTTTTATAGTGTGACCCTGAATTCCTTGTTGCTTCCAATATGCTTTTGAAATTTCATGATACAGTTTTTTGCGTGCGTAGGGCTGTGGGGGAGTAGTACCCAATTTGGTGTTGCCAACTTAGATTCCCTAGAACCATATACTTGTCCTAGTCCTTAAGTGTGAAGGGTTGGTGCCGGTGTTGCCATTCCAGATTCCCTCGAACATTCACTTCTCTTAGTCTCTCGTTTTATAATTGCTTTTGTTGATGGTTTGAAAATGTTGAACTATCATTATTCATCAAATCTTACATATGAAGTTCTATGAGTCGAGAACCTGGTCCACTGCAAGGAGATTGTTAATTACCATTTTCTTTTCTTGAACTGTTTTTTCACAGGTGATGTACTCTGAGGAAGATAGGAAGTACAATAAAGACATCACTATTGGTCTTATTCGGAGTGAACTATTGAACCTTGCCGAGTATAATGTCCATATGGCGAAGCTTCTTGACTCGGGAAGAAACAGTATGTGTCACAAAGTTTGTGCTCAATTTTTTGATTGGATATATTAACGTTCCGCTGTTTACAATGTGCAGAGCCTGCAACAGAATTTGCGGTCTCTCTTATACAAGCATTAGTTATCAATGATTCCAAAGTGATATCAGAACTACACAATCTTGTAGATGCTCTGGCAAAGGCACGATCTTACTCAGTTTGTCTCACATAATTGTGTTTTCTTTCTTCCCATAGTCTGTGTGTGTGTGTATGTGTTCAATGATAAGGGTCGTTTTTATTTTCCAGCTTGCTGCAAGACCTGGATCTCCAGAGTCGTTACAACAGCTGGTTGAAATTGCGAAGAACCCTGCTAATGCCGCCATTTTGTCTTCTGTAACTGTTGCGAAAGAGGACTCGGCGAAAACCTCTAAGGACAAAATGGTATTGGAAGTGCTTTCCTTTTTCCTTTTTTCTATTGTTTCATCCCTTGGTATTTGCTTGCATATCTTTATTGGGTTTGTCTCAATATCTGAAGTTATGCCTTATTATCTGGAACAGTTCACCGTGGCTCCTGCAGCAAACCGGGAAGAAGAGTACAATGCATCAGAATTGATGGATTCAGATCTTTCAGGTTTTCATGAGCAGGTGCTAAATTTAACTTTGTTCACTAATTTTGATGTTCCTAATTAACAATAGGAAGTTGAAATTGTAGAGTATGTCACTGTTTACGAAAAGATACTTTCAGGGTTCTCACTTGGTAATTCTTGCTTATAAGAAGCTACAGAGTTTATGTTGGGTATGCATTTTATTGTTTCTCATCATATTTGTTGTCATCTTTTCTTCATGTGCTGCATATAGGTTTCTGTGCTGTTTGCTGAATGGTACCAAATATGTGAACTCCCTGGAGCAAACGATGCTGCTTCTGCTCGTTATGTTTTACACTTACAGCAGAGAGGCCTGCTAAAAGGAGATGAAACTTCAGATCATTTTTTCCGCCGTATAATGGTAAAGCTCCTTTTTTCTCAGACACCTTATATAAATGGTTGCTTGTGGAATATTTAATTTATGGTCGGTTCAACATCAGGAACTTTCACTATCGCATTGTTTATCATATGAGGCGATAAATTCTAGCCCTTCCCAGTCACATCAGGGACAGCCACTCTCGTTCCTAGCTATTGATATATATGCGAAGTTAGTTTTCTCAGTTCTGAAGGTAGGCATTGTTTAATTGGCCTTCTCACAACATTTGTGGTTATTCGGTATTTCATTCTTTATCTCTTCACTTTTACCCATAGATTTT